TACCTCTTGAACCCAGTCACTAGTGAGTATATGGTGATTAATATCAGAAGGTGGGTTTTGTAGAGATTTTAGTAATTTTATAGTTGAATCTCTAGAGGCGTGATCGTGGATGTGCACTGTTGAGGAGTCTCACAATAGGATGAAACAGCCATCGAGTGCTTCCAGGCTTACCATGGTAGTCTAGCTTCAATTGATTCATGATCTCAACTACTAAGCTAAAATAACTGTCTAGTTTTCGTTGATTTTCAATAATAATCTAACTGAAATCAGTTCATATATTTTTTCCTTAAAAACCTTTTACAGAAAAATTTTGTTTTCATGTTTTTTTTGCTCATAAAATTTTATTTATGTAATAAAAAGTAACAAAAAAAAGAAAGAGAAAAAGAAAAGAAAGAAAAGAACGTGATTAAGTAACAGAACGATTCTTGTTCACATTATCTACATCTGAAAAAACATTGTATTTTTCTATAATTATTACAAACAGATGACAAGTTGTACACAATGTTTTAATATGATTTAGTTACTATAGTAACAGTGATAATGTTCAAATAAACACTAGGGGATATTATGTACCTGTAAAACAAAAAACAAAAAAGAAAATTATGTAGAAAATTCTGAAATAGAAGATAACAATTCAAATTCAAATGGTTAATTTTATCCGAATTATAGCTTATTAGTTATGCTGTAGTGAACAAGAACACGAGTGGGGATAATCGAATGTATTTAAGCATAATATTACAGAATATGTCATTAAAATATGAGAAATACAAGGCAAACAGTTAATTTGTAGAATAACAATCAATTGTCCTAATCTTGATTGTTCCTTCTGTAAATATCAATCCGTCTTCTCTGATTTCATTGTTTATGCATTTTCATAACGATTGCGCTTCATTCATGTTCTTTTGTTATCGATTTTCTGCCACAATACATTCTATGTTTGATCATCACCATATACTACTTATGTGGATATATGTAGACCACATCACAATACTACTTAATTATAACTTACTTCTAGTTTATCTATGAGGAATTAGACTTAGTATATATTGGTCAAAATTTAAAGTTTTGTACAATTAATTATTTAATTGGGTATTTTAACAGAAGATTGTTAACTTATAATAATCTATTTATCTTACATTAAATGAACATGATTAGTTGTGGATGACTAACAATTAATTAGGAATTCAAACTGCTCAATTAATCTACTGTGGTGAGCGTGAACACAAGCGTAGGCAATGGAATGTATTTGAACACAAAAATACAAAATCTCTCTGTAAAATCTGAGAACCATACAGTAAATATTTTATTTTCAAGATCTCATTCAATTGTCTCAAACTTGACTGTTCCGTTTGCAAATGTCAGCCAGTCGTCTCATACTTCACTATTCCTTAATTTCTACAGTAATCATTCACTGTTCTCATTCTGTTCTCTTCGATCATCTTAATCTTCTGCTGTCAGGTATTTCGCTACTACTTATATCTATCGAGATCAGTAGCACATACCACAGTATTAGTTAATGTATAGTTTATATAGACATTAATTTACTAAATGTTATCATTCACGACAACTGAAATTTAGGGATACGTTTCTACATGAAATCAGAAAACACATATGGTAAAGTAAATTTTGAAATCTTTTAATCGTGAATTCCTTAATTCTATAAAGAACAATTCCATATTCTGAGAGTAACAGCATTGTAAGTTAATACCAATTAGTGAGATAGTGTAAACTATAGTCTTTGGATAGCAATTTCATATCAGAAAAGAACTTATCAGTATACAGTCAAGGTAATTTATCCATTCATGTCTTGTAGTAGGTATTGTACCATATTTCTCCATCTCAATAAATTTATGTTATAAAATAATTCATTTATTCTATTCCGACCAAGTCTCTCACGACCTTTTTTAATCTATAGGTCTCTAGTTACAAGTGTTTGGATAACAGGGGAAGATGGTAAAATAATATTATTTATCAGAGTTTGATAGTGAATAATTATGAGAAATAGCTTTGAGGTTCTAGAGAGCTTCGACCGGTGGAGTTCAACTACGTCAGAAGTAAAATGTTACCATGGTCTGCGAAAGATGACTGTATTGTAGTATCACAAATTAACCATAATTAACTATATGAACCATCCAGAAGATATCAAATTATTGATCTAAAGTTTAATCACTAACTGTAAGAACTTCAAAGTACGCGTTTAATTACTGAGAGTATCGTGAGTCCTACTGTTATTAATTGTAGTACTATAGAAAACAGTTATCTAATGCTTACTTGATTTCAAATTTGGGTAGGACTAAACTATACTGCTGAACCAATTAGAAGCTTTCGCGGGTTTTCAAGGTCACGGGGCTAAGTTCGGTACCTGATGCTTACGTACGATCGGTTTACAGCGGGTTTTAGGGAAGACGTGATAATTCAGCGTCTGCAAGAGAAGTAATCATAAGATTTTGGCGCGAGATTCAATTATTCATTTGGATAAACAGAGTTTTGGCATTATAGCTGATGTCAGTTCGTGATGAAAACCCTATAGGGTTTACTTATAAGTATAATTCCTAGCCTTAACCGTGAACTTTAAATCATAATTTGAATTCTTCACACAGGTTTATACCCTAATTTGGTCTTAGTTATTATGTTGACACTCTCAGAGTCACTCTAGCGTCGCTCAAAGGTTGTCCATAACTAATAGTCTCACCCATAACCCTAAACCCTAATCCTTAACCTTAACTCTAACCCTAAACCGTAAACCATACCAATATACTAACATTATTGAAGCTATGTGGTCGAGGCCAAGAGAATTTTTGAGACCTTATCATGGTTTCGGAGGTCGACTACTATGGAGCCATATGGATGTGTTCCTGTATCGTATGCACTATGATTTTAGAACTTCTGAACCTATATCTGACCTTGAGAAGTTTCTAACTCATGTAAAAGAAGTGTTTCCACTTTAATTCTTTGGTTTTGTATAATAAATTTTCACTGTACACTAACTGTCTTCTGATTGGCTAATATTTCTCAAGGTCATTTTACATTCGTTCAAAGGTCGGCAGTATAGTTTAGTCCTACCCAAATTTGAAGTCAATCCGCGATATAAAATTTAAATCATAAGCGAGATGTAATGGTCACAGAATTATCTTTATGTACCCTTGAAAGGCAAAGAGCAATAGACAGTTATTTTTTCCATGTATAGAACTATTCGGCAGTAGTAACTCATGACCTTATTAAGAATCGATCTGTGACGAGTACAACCTAAAAGCTAATCTAGTCTCTAAATAACCTGGTCAGCTAGACTATAATAGTCAGCTAACAGTTAATTTCTTCAAGATGCTCTTGAAAGTTTCATGATTATACCATCCAGCTTAAATAATGAAACACCTTAAAAAACTCTCATCCTTATCAATAAATATTTTTTATCAATTCAATAAACAGTTAATTTTGATAGGAAAATTTTACAAACAATAATCGAAATCAATCCACTTATTTTGACATTTTTCATGTTTCACTCGTATGCAACATAAAATTTTAAAAAAGATAGATATCTATTTTGAGATAGTGGAGAAGATTTGTAGCTAAGGTGAATGATTTTGGTAAAGTTATGTTCTCTGAAGCCGGATGATTTGATCGTGGACTTTTCATCATTCTTCTGAACAGTATCATCAGCACAAACTTCAGATAGAATTGAAGTATTCGAATTTCTTCGCAAATGTTTTACAGACCTCGATCTTGATTGACTATTATTGACTATTAAACGCAATATGTATTTTCTGATAGTTCAACAGGTTTTATGACAAAAATCAGAACACACTTCTTTAATTAAGTTCATTCTCGAAGTTGACGAAATAAACAATTAGATACCAATTAAAAACAATCTATATTCTACAACAACTACTACTACTGCTGTGGTGTCGGTTGCTTATATCCACTTAAGTAGTATATGACGATGGTCAGGGATAGAATGTATTTTAATAGAATATGGATATGAACAATAACAATTGGAGACGATGGAATAATATTTGCGGAAGGAACGGTCAAGATTGAGACAATTGATTAATAGTTTGCAAATTCACTGTTTACTGTATAGTTTTCGGATTTTAATGAGATAGTCTGCAATTTTTCTGCTTAAATATATTCGATGGTCCCCACTCACCTTCTTGTTCACTACACTACTACTACTACTACTATAGTTGAGTATTGCTTTTAAATCTAACCCAAAACCTTTTTTTTAGTCAATCTTAAACAGTGAACTGCTACTTCTCCTCACTTTACCCATTATCATATTCATTTAGATATAAAATAATAGTATTGTTAATTTCACTTAGTATTGTTTATTTGAATCTTCCAATTGATGTTTAGGACTGCAACTGGTTAGTCTCTAATCGGCTTATGTGCATCCTGTGCGCATTGCCTCGATATTGCCATAATTCACAAACATGATAAGCAAAGATGGATAGTGGTTTATATTGAGATCTGCAACACGCGTTTCGTCCTATTCGAGACTCGTCAGCTGAATGTACCTGCATCTCAGAGTTGATGTCCACTCTGGGACTTGATTCCAATACCTTTCGCTGCAAACGCCATCACGTTATCCACTAATCCATTTATCCGCTACATCAACTCTTAGATGCAGCTACATCCAACTGACGAGTCCCAAATAAGACGAAACGGGCGTCCTGGATTCCACTGCTAGCCACTCTCCATCTTTGCTCATAGTAGTATTGTTATATATATATATATATATATATATATATATATATATATATATATATACTACGACTGATCATCTGAAAACAGACATAACAAACTAACCAATAAAAATTCAAGAAACTATTACTTCTTTCAAATTATAGGAATAGGGGAAAAAAAGCATTTTAAAACAATCTCATATAAATAAATGACTTAGTAACAACCCTATTTAATTTTCATCATTTCAATTTATACACCTTTAACTTATTATATTATAGTAAAACCAAAGTATATCCAATATCATTATTATTAGCAAAATTATGTCTATTTTAACAAATATAAGAAATTTTTTTGATCATGTTGGAGAAAATTTAAATCAAACTTTTCGATCACCAGGTAGATTACCTAGATTAAATCAAAATAATACAACAAATAATACACGTTGTTCTACTGGTAAGTTAGTTCAATTTTGTCAATACAAAGTTTATATATATATATATATAACCTTTATTCAATATTATATTTTCGGTACAATATAGAATTCTCAGCACGAAGTATTTGAACAAGTTTCCGTTTCTTACTTCTTCGTTCGTCCTGACGATAAATATTGAGTGATCGCCAGTTAGAAGTTAGCAGTCCAGTCCATCGATATCTGAATAATGTACATCCTTTTCGCTGCATATAGCCAGCAACAATGATATCTCTGATTAGGCCTTCCGTAACCTTTACAGCGAAAGGTCTTACACTTTACAGAAACGCACCTGAATAGGTTATGCGATTAATAAGGATAGTGATGTATTAAAACAAACAAAATTAGATAACTTGTTGAATTATATATAGATGACGTGAACAGGTAGCCTAGACGCTCAGACATGCCCCCAAATGGCACCTTTTATTATCTTACAGAGATTCGTAACAAAGATTGGTACGAAATTGATTTCATTTCGTCAGGTTCTCATCTACTAAGAGTTATTACAGATATTGACATACTTATAAATATAGGAAGGTAAATAGAGAAGAATATGTGTATTATTATTATTATTATTATTATTATTATTATTATTATTATTAATGGCTTTATTCAATATTATAATCTGGTACAATATAGAATTCTCAGCATGAGGTATTCCAACAAGTTTTTTCTTTACCAAAAAAAATAAAACAAGAAATTATTATCAGAAGGTGTTTTTTGTGGAGATTTAGTATTTTCATAGTTGAAAGCGTGAGTCAATTGAAGCTAGATGACCAGGGAAACCTTGAAGCACTGGACGGCTGTTTCGTCCTATTATGGGTTCGAATCTCGCTAGGCGAGTTCGTGGATTCACACTGTTGTGGAGTCCACAATAGGACGAAACGGCCGTTCAGTGCTTCCAGGTTTCCCTGGTGGTCTAGCTTCAATTGACTAATGCTTTCCACTATAAAAAAAGAAATGAAAAAAAATGTTAAAAAATTCTAAGTCTATACAAATTATCAAATATGAGACATGCCTAAGAATGCAGGTATATTTGCTAGGTAACGTATTACAGAACTTTTATAGATTTGTTTGCGTGCATGGATTTTAATGTATTTACGTCTTGTTCTACCGGAAGATATACAAGGAAAAAGATATGAATGAAGTGAATGATTAGTATCTGATAAGATAACACCTCCCAAGAGTTTGCAAGACTTAAAATGTTTATCCACAAGCATATTAATAATGACCTCAAAGATTCATCACACACTTTACAAACTGCCTTCAGCATTCTCCATAGTACAGGAAAGACTTTTCTCAACAAAAATTTTATGACATATCATTAGTGTAAGAGTGAAAGTTCCAGAACATTGAACTAATGATTACAAACTATAGAATTAACAGAAATTAGATGATTATGTAATAAAGTAACTGAAAATAGATCAATGCTAATAAAGATATAAATTGAAATCAGTCAATTTTGGATTAAAGGGAAATGAAATAAAGTTTCTACATTGAATATTTGACCTTAATCTATAGGGAAATAACTGTTGGATAAATTTGTATGTTTGTTTGTTTGTTTTTTTGAAATTTCACTATATACGTTATACCTGAATGTTATAAGATACTTTTAGTCTTCAATATGAAATATTTTGAATAAATTATTCTGATGCCTTATGACAGAAAAGATTGGCAACTATTGATCAATAAATACAAATATTTATAGGTCATTCTAGGTTGTTGTTTTGTTTTTTTAATTTTTTGATATTACAGAACTTGTATGATGTTTCATGTCAATCAACATAGATGTTCCTTATTGTGTTAGATAAAGAGAAAAATATAAGCTGACCAGTGTAATCTTTTCGCTTGAGTTTTGTATTATTCAGTATAAGAATAAATTGTATATTCTTTCTGAAAACACATGAGTAAATTATACAATTATTGTAAACATTAATTTCATTTAGTATTGTTTGTTTGAATCTTCCTATCGATGTGTTAGAACTGAAACTGGTCAGTCTCTAATTGGCAGGTACATCCAGCTGGCGAGTCTCAAATAGGACGATACGCGCATCCTGGATTCCACTGCTAGCCACTATCCATCTCTGCCTACATTATTCGTTACATACAACAACTTCAGTTTGAGAAAACATCTTCTAATGTTAACTTGCATGACAATCTAAAGAACTGAAAAAGGTAGTTCATAGTTCAACCTCTAAAACACCTAGTTAATTGTAACGAGCCCGTTCAGTCAAAATTTTTCATAAAATCATTCATTCAGTTAGAGGAATTGATTTGAAAAAAACTACAAATTAAAAAGTAATGTACAGAAGATATAATATCGATTCATCAAATCAGGACGTTGCATATAGAAATAGTATGCTCAATCCATCATTTTATTGTAAACATAATCTTCTTTTCCATACTCCATAATCTATCAGTTCTTCTATTCCTTCTTAATTAACTATTATTACAACCTTTATTCATTCTGTTCTTAATCTTTATCATCCATAAATAATTTTTTGAATGATATTTCTTATGAGTTGTTGAACTGTTACGTAACTTACCTTTTAAATATTTGATTTTTATAAGCAGTTTGTGATAAATGATCAATTTAATGGATAATGACTAGCAGTGGAATCCATGACGCGCGTTCTGTCCTATTTGGGACTCGTCGGCTGGATGTACCTGCTAAGTGGATAACGCGATGGCATTTGAAGTGAACGGTAATGGGTTCGAGTCCCAGAGTGGACATCAACTCTGAGATGTAAGTGCATCCAGTTGACAAGTCCCAAACAGGAAGAAAGGCGCGTCCTGGATTCCTTTGCTAGCCACTATCCATCTTTGCTTACAATGCTTGTGACTTTAGGCAATATCGAGGCAGTTCGCACAGGATGCGTATGTGCCAACAAGAGATTCATCAATTGCAGTCCTAAATATTAGTGGAAAGATACAAGTAAACAACAACAAGTGAATGATCACTTTAATGTTTAACACTAAACAGTATTCTTCTATTTTACGACAGACTACTGATTTAGTAAATAAGTTAAGCATAAATACGATTGTATAAATTAAGTAGGCAAAGTAATTGTAAAGCAAATTTTATTTACAAAATTAATTTTATTCCTGTTCAGTGAAATTAGATCCTTCAAACCAATACTGTTTGAAGTGTGAACAATGGTGGGTAACATTGTTAAAGTATGTATCTTGTAATCTCTACATCACAGATCGAATGACATTATGACTGGGATTTGTCACTGAATTTCAAAAGTTGCTATTAATATCTTAACGTATAGCTTTGAAGGAAACTTGAAGTTTTCAGAATATTGACTGATTTCGTAATTAAACTGAATCTTACTTTTGCAGAATTATTCATTTAAGATTCTTTGTAAAGGTATCCAAGTAATAAATACTTAAATGTATTTAACATTTTATTACTTTTCCCTATGTATACTTAGACAAAAACCTTTGACTTAATACTTCACTTACCTAGTATAGGAACAATGGTATTTGATGTTTTATAAATACATAATATTTATGCGCTAAATTTATACACTTTAGTGTGCTATATCTGTGCAAAAGGGTTTCTAATATTGTTAGAATGAGGGTTTGTGGAAATTGTAGTAATTTATTGGTTAGATTAAGGAGTCAATTTAAGCTAGATCACCATGGAAAACCTGGAAGTATTGGACGGTCGTTTCGTTCTAGTAATGAACTCTTCAACAGTGCGCATCTATGAAACTGAAAGTCTTGGGTTTGAATCCCGCGTACGAGGTCATGGATGTGCACATCCGAGGAGTCTCATACTAGGATGAAACGGCCATCCAGTGCTTACAGGGTGGAGAAGATTTGTAGCTATGGTAGATGATTTACTGTATTTTTGTTTTCTGAGCCGGATGTTTTGATCGTGGAGCTTTCATCATTCTTCTGAACCACTTTTCTTGTTAAAATATCTGTAATTTACTGTGATGATAATTTTTCAAAAAAAAAAGTTTTATTCAACAGAACAACAACGAAAAATTGGACTTTTCTTTCGTTATATATTGAATTTGATTGCTTTTCCCTTATTGTTTTAACAAGATATGACCTTAGTATAGGTGACTTTGTACACTTGAATAGATTCGTTATCATTATAATTGAAGTTACTTGTATATAACAGTTTTGATTCCTCAGTGTATTATAAAGATTCATTTAAATATTTAGTTACTTAATTTTTTGAAATGTATTCAGTTGGAATTGAAATAAATCAGTTTTGAGGAATCAACTTCTGACTGATCCAATTATTCAATTGTTCTGTCATAACACATTTGCATCAACATTCCAAATGAAATTATGTAGTAGATTCTGCCTATCAGATTTGAGCAAAACAAAAACTGAAAGCAGTCTAACTTGTCGGTATTAAAATATTGAAATACAATTTTATAGGGGACATGTATATGTGCCTCAGGACAGAGTTAGATGAAGAATGCTGATGGGTGGCCTATACTCCTCCATGAGGGATAACAGGCATAAGTAAGTAGGTACATATATGTGTATCAACTAGGATGTTACATCATTAACTCAATGATAATAATTTAGCACAAATTTACAAATTATATAGATGTATGTTATTCATGAATGGTATTTTAACTACTAAGCTATTACATTCATTAATGAACACCTCAAAACCACAGGTTTCATTTAAGGATTGTTTATTGTTCATTGATGTAAACAGATTCAATTAGATAAATGAAACTTTTATACGAACGTATTTTCATTTACGAGTGAAGTATTTATTCTTTCTCGATGTTATATCGATTGAGTGCGTGCCCTCTTTAATATATAAAACATGCTGATTCCTACCAATGAGAGAGGAGTGAATTATCGATCAGAGTAATGATACACATAGGCAGTATAAGCAGTCTTGAGCACCTATCAGTAATCAATAGACTGGGGATAATTCAAGAATGGTAAATCATATGATAATAATCTATAGGTCAAAATAAAGCTTGTAATAAGAGGAACA